TTGCGGCAGGCGCCAGTAATTCAAGCTACTTGGGAGGCTGAGGCAAGTGAATGGCTTAAGCCCAAGAGTTTGAGGTTGCTGTGAGCTGTGACGCCAGGGCACTCTACGAAAGGCGACACAGTAAGACTCTGTCTCAAAAAAATATATAGCATGCAGTGAAAACATTTACCTGCATTATTTCATTTAGTCCCCCAAATAATCCCGAGACAGTATTGCTTTATTTTATAGATGAGTTAAATGAGGTGTGTAATTTAACTAGTTAGATGGTAAGGCTGGAATTTGATACCATGCCTTTTTAATTCCAAAACCCTAGCTTTTGACACTTGGCGCTCCTGAAACTATACTAATTGAATTTTTAACAACTTTTTGCACCTCGATTCCTTAATTACTGCAGCTAAAGGGAAGAGAGAGTCCTGGAGAGAAAGAACAAAACTATATTCTCTTTAAATACCATGCTTCTTCAAACCAGAGAGCTGTCCAGAAATGCCCGAACCGCCCCTAAATGTTCAATCACGTAGAGAAGATGCCCTATACTTCAATACCTCCTCTTGCTGTGGCTTCACTCCTTCGTCCTTCTCGGAGACAGACTCCTCTTCTAGTGGTCCCCAGAGCAGTCCAGGCTTTAGGGCCTCCCCGACACACCAGACCCCCAAGCCCTGTTCTTTGGCGACAGAGGGGCCAAGGGCCAAACCCGGAGGGAGGCTCTTCAGAGCGAGCACAGCTCGGGTCGGCCCCGGCAAAAAGTCTTTGAGGGCCTGAGCACAGCCTCCTCCGGAAGAGCTCCATCCTAAGTCCAGGCCCAGGCACGGCTCGGGAGCTGCAGGGAGATGGGAGAACAGTGAGGGAACCCTGCACAGGGCGTGAGGGAGGAAACCGCTGGTCCAGCTAGCCTTCCAGAGCCTGAAAGCCGCCTGAGGACTAAGGGGACCCATGGAAGGTTTGAAGTGGTTCGAGGGGTCATATCAAGCTCCCAGTAACTCTGAGGGTACCGAAGGAGAATCCTGGGCTTGGGAGGTGAGAAGACTAGTGGACTGGAATTGACCAGAGAATTGGTAAGTCTAGGCCAGGGCTGAGGGTCACAGGCACTTACCAAGCTGGAAGGCCCTCCCCTCCAACAGCGGCTCCACCGCCTCCTCCATTCCGGGTCAGAAAGCCCCTCTCCGACGGAAGTGAACGTTCTCTTCTCAGCTCCTCCCGGAAACAGTCAATAACTTCTAAATTTCCTCTCAGGAAAAAGTCCTATGAGTCGGACCTCATTGGTGCACAGGACCACGAGTTTTGGGAGTAATCCTGAGGCAAAACTCTGAGAACAGTTCGAACCTAGGATTCCAGGAAGCTGACCAGGGATTAGAGGATCCGGGAAAACGGAACTAATGATTTCTTCCTCCTCCCTTTGGGAGTGACGAGTCGGACACTTACGCGGTTTCTCCCCGGGACGGGCAAGTACAGGAAGTGGGCGGGGCTCCTGGAAAGGCCACGTTTGGACAGGGCAGCGGGCCGGAAGTAACTTGGAGGTGTGGCGGAAGTGGTTGGGTAGTGAGGCGTACGGGAGGGGGCGGTTCCCGTTCCACCGCGAAGCCGGATGTTTGCCGAGCTTTGACAGGCGTGGCAAAGGGAGCAGTGCCCAGGCGCGGTGAGCTGCAGGGCGCGGGGTCTCCGCGGGTGGGGCTGGGGGAAGGAAAAGAACTGGCCGGGTATTCTGAAGGGATGGGGTCCAGATGGGGAGGACCGGAGCGGATTTGCGGAGGGGGAACCGGGGTGAATTGAGTTTGTTGCAGCATTTCTGCCCTATTTTGGCGCCTGCAGTAAGAGTACTTCACTCCCTTCTCTATCTTCTTCCTGCTCTCCCCAGAGCAGAGGCCAGGCTAGATTGCTGTCACCGAGCAAGTCCGTGGGAGAGGGAAGTCTCTCTGCTCCGAGCTGGCAAAGCACTAAGAATAAGAAATTCAGGGGAAGTGTTCCATCTTGCCCCTTATTAGGCCACGCTTTTATCTCAATTTCTTAATCTTTAAAGTGGGATAATTGCATCCAATCCGGGATTTGTAAACCTTGAATTTCTAGGCAAACGTAATTATTTCTGAGAATTGTATTGTGGTGGGATTTGCATTTTTGTAATTCTGTAAAACTAGGAGACGGATTCCACCCTCAGAGAATGATTTCAAGTTGCATTCTGTGTTCTTCACGGAAGAGAGGATTAGGGGAGAGGCTTTAGTTTGCTGTTTTGTGGCACCTCTCAACCTTGAGATTCGCATGAATAACAGTCACTTAAAGCATTGTTGAAGGATTATTGCTTTTCACCAAAAGACCACCTCATACACAGACAATGGATTAAAATCCTGCCTCTGCTGACTGTATGACCCTCAACAGTTGCCTCATTTTTTCTGGTCCTCAGTTTTCTTAGACTGTAGAACTGGCTTAGCAGTACATGTCTCACCAGTGCTGTTGTGAAGTTAAAAGATAGTTTGTGCCCAGTTCCTGGTGCTATATAGACCCTCAACAAATGTTGATTTCCTTCTCCACTGAGGAAATGTATTACTTCATTTAGTCATTTAACAAATAACTTAGCATCTACTGGGTATCAGATATTATTCTGAATAGATCAGACGTTCTCACAGGGTCTATGAACCTCTTAAAATTATGTGCAAAGTTTCAGGCACCTGCTGATTTTTCTTAGGGAAAAAGTACACAGATGTCATCAGAATTTAATAGGAGTTTATGACTTCCCAAAAGTGATTGGCTAAGGTGATTCTTAAAGTTTTTTTAAGGGTTTCCCTGCTGAGAAGGAAAGATTAATTTCAAAGTAGGATGTATTTTGCAGAGTATAGCAGGGTTTGTGGGTGGCTGGTGTCATAGGCAGCCAGGTTATCCTCATTTCTAGTACTTTATGTTAGAATTTCCCTGCACTAGCTTCCCTCACTCTTCCACTGAATGGAAGCTAAACTTCTGGGCCCAGAGAAGACAAGTATGGATTGGAGGGTAGTGAGAGAGGCCAGTTTGGCTGCGAGGTGGGAACAACAATTAATTAGTTATGCTGAAAAAGGAGGTTTTGTCAGGGGTGGAGAGAGATCAGGCCTGGAAGAATTGATAGAATAGGAGTTACTAGAAAGAGGTAGAATTCAAGTTCAGCTCCATTTTATTTTTATTTATGTTTTGTTGATTTGTTTTTTTTGTTTGGTTTTTTTTTTTTTTTTTTTTTTTT